TTGAGAACATATTCCTGTTGGTTGAGAAAAAAAGAGGAAGATGAATTTATGCGAGGGCTGTGGCAATCCGTTCTTGGTATTCTTCCCTGACATCCTGTGGGATTGCCCTTAAATACACGTCTTTCCTCCGGATTTCCTATTACGTTTCCTAATTCCCGTTAATCCAGAGTGATGCTTTATTAGGGAGCCTCAAGGAGTTCAAAGTTCTACCTCTTTCCTTCCCTGGTTTCAGTTTCCCCTCTGGCCACTGCACATCCTCTGCAGTTTAGGCTGCCTGCCCCGTCATCACCTCCCCTCCTTGTTCCCAGGCACTGCTTTGTCAGGCTCACTACTGTATGTCAGTGGATGGGGACTGGTGACATCCATAAATCTCACCTAAACTGATGGCCACCTCCAAATGTTGGCATTGCTCTCCAATGAACCAGGAGAGAGGTTTCTGAGATATAGTAACAGGGCATTTCAACAGGACATATAAGTGGCCAGGGAGAACACGAAGAAGGTGAGTCTGAAGCCACATGCCATCTAAAAATGAATTTGCGTTGTTGGCACTGGAGCCATAGGTTGCTTGTTGTGTTCCTGCCTTGCCCTGAGCAGCAACTCCACGTTGCCCTTGGGACCCTGGGATAACCGAAGTGGGTCAGGCCCTGACTATATTTATTATATAGAGCAAAAGGAAAGTGTGGAATTGAAGGACTCGATCAGGGTTTTGACCTGACAGGTTGGGAGAGAAGGATCTGCTACTCAGGAGGAATAGAAGTCTGCTCTTTCGGAGGTCCTGAGTTATTTGGGTTGCCTGCACACACACCACATGATGGATTTCTATACACTTTGTGCCTCATTTCCCTAGTAGGTGAAAATGGCTTCTGAAATGTATAATTAGGGGTTCTTGCCCCTACCTGTCATGCAATGGGCTTTGGAGACTGAGTTCTGGGTGGCCAGACACAGCATGTCCCCTTACAAGGTGTTTATTATTTATTAAGACATTGGTCTCCAGTCCACCCTGCATGTGTAGACACAGTTTATGAGTGCAGAGGGGAGACACTGGAATAATGTTTTATACCTAGACTGTCGCTTGCAAGCACTAAAACACACCACAAGGAACAGCAAAGGAAGTTGGTTAACAAGGGTTTCCAATGAACATTTCAATCATGTACGCTCACCCCAAACATTCTTCATGCTCTGGATGGATTTTTACCTGGGCATCAAATTTTCCAGCGTTGTGCAGAAAAGTCATGCAAATCCCATGTAAGCCCCGAATCTCACAAGAATTGTTCTCGAAACATTCAAACACGCCACACCCCACATCGCCAGCGTTGACCAAACAGTGCTGGATCTCCGCTAAAAGGAAAATCACATACAAATATATACAAAACTGGAACCCATGCTGGGCAGTGCAGAGAGGTCATTTGAAATAAAAGTTAGTAACAACTCAAGGAAAATTTAAGGAGGAAAAAAGAGTTAGTAATGACTATTTCAGGACCTAAAAAGCCTGGGAAACAAAATTTCCTCCTTTAATCTACTCATGAAAAATATATTTGTAAATATTTGTAGAAAAGAGCCGAAAATTACAAAAATTACAACCAGAAGGCTGGTCTGAGCATTCCTCCTTTTCATCCTTTCCATTTTATTAAAGTATTTGTGGCAATACTTAGTTTGAGAGCGAAATATATTTCAGCTTTTTAAATCCACAGACAAAAATAAAATTCTGAGTTGAAGACTGTACTTCGTCAATGAAGTACCGTTCTCTACTTGATCTGTAGAAGTTGCTGCTATTAACTTACAGCCATTTGCTTCCTGACACCCAAATGACAGCATCTAAAAAGCAGTTTCAATTCAGCTTTATGATTCAACACCTAAAAATCAAAACAAAATTCCTATTAAGGCAGTGCCTCCCAACCCTTCGCATTAAAATACCAGCTAGGGAAGCTGCGGTTGGCCAGCAGGCTTAGGAGTGGAGTCAGATGGGGGCGAGCCTTCAGCAACGCCACTATCCGCGGTTGCAGGCTCCTTTTAATTAGGGATGGGGTGAGGTATATCACCCAATCCCCTAGAATTCCCTCCGCCCGGGAGGGAGCTTGCAGCTCTTCACTGAATGTGGCCCCCATTCCTCTCTCGGAAAGGGCAGACGGAGGGAGTTAACTGTCAGGCTGCAGCGTGCAAAGCCTCTTCCCTCCCTTCCCACTACCCAAGTCTCTGATTTAAACCAACCACAAAATTACATCAGAAAAGTATATTTTGGAAGAAGGGCGGGGTCGGAGCAGATAATCCGCATCAGATTAAATCCAGCGAGAGAATGAGGGGCGTTTATTGTTGAGGGTCCCCAACCACCGAGAATCACGTTCAGTTCTCAGAGGAAGCGCCAGAGGAGGGGGAGGGTGGGCGAGGGTCTGGGGTGGTGGGGGTGCCGGCCCCAGCATGTGGAGGTGACAGGCTCCGTAAGACCCCACGCGCCGCCGGGGCAGGACCGCGCAGGGCCGCGATTCACTCACTTGGGGCGTCCCTAATGGGCACTCGTGCATTCTTGCTCGTGCGGTGAGCGCACGCACGCCGCCGCGTTCACACGGCCCCCCAAAGTCGGGGGAGGGGTCGTGGAGCGAAGGAGCTGTAGGCAGATTTTCTTTCTCTTTCCGAGCTGGGAAAAGGGCCAGCCCCGTGCCCTGCACGCCTGGCTCTGCTTTGTAGCTTGCTGGTGAGCCAAGAGCCGGTCGAGCAGAGGAGGCGCACGGTTCGGGTCATGTCACCATTTCTTGGCTTGCTGACCTGGCCAGGAGCTGGGGATGGCGGCAGCACCGCGGAGGTACGCTTTGCGCCGCCCCCACGCTCCCTTCCGAAAGCAGTGCCCCCAGGGGGAAAGTTCGCAGTGCCATCTGTCTCGCCGGCAAAGTTCTAGGATGTCCGGCATCTTTTGAGGAGGGGGAAGACGCGGCACTCTTACTGAGGCCGTCAGGCTGGGAAGAGAAGTTCTCCGGATGCAGGGCGCAGCCCAGCTCCGGGGACCCTCTGTGCCTCCCGCGTGCCGGCCGGGATGAAGCGCGCTTTGCACCGGACCCGGGACTCGGGGGCGGGGGCTGGGGCTGCCAGCGTCAGACGCTGCCTCATTTCCCCTCGACCCTGGGGAGGACAGCAACAAGTCCTGCCCCAGCCATTTCATCACCCTTGCTAGCACGTGCAGATTCCGGGCGCTCGGAGCCCCGCGCGGACCTGCCTTGCCTCGCGCTTCCCTTTGCACGTCCCGTGCCATCCCAAGAGTTTGCGTGGCCGTGGGTGGGCGCCTGGCTCCCGGTGAAACGCCTGGGGCGCGCCGCGTGGGTGCACGGTGTCCTCTCCCAGTAGCTCCCGGTTGCGGGGGCACATGCACTTACCTGTATTCTGCAGGGACAGGCGGCCTTTCTGCTGGGAGCTCCTGTCTTGGGGACCCTCGGGTGGGTTGGTGGCGTCGGTCCCCCGCGCCGGGTCAAAGGTGGCCAACACCAAAGCCAGGGTCATGAAGTGGCCCAGCCGTTCGGCACACATGGTTCTTGGTATTAACCTCCCGCCAGGAGACCTGAATCCTTTGTGCTCCCCTCCTCCTCCTCCTCCTCTTCCTCCTTCGCCGCTTCCCCTCCTCCTCCCACTCTTCCTCTTTGCTCGCCTTTTCCCTCCTCCTCGCGGCCGCGGCTCGGATAGAGGTTACCCAGCGCCCTCCCGTAGCTCTCCGGAGAGCATGTGACCAGGCCGTTAGCAGCGCCGCGAGTGCCCGGCAATGGCAGGGATGGTGCCTCAAATATCCCTGGAAGCTCTGGTGTCACTTGAATGAAGGAGTCGAGCAGGTGTTGTCCCGGCGGCTGGACCAATCCGAGACCCCGGCCCTTTTGACAACACGGCCGGGAGGCGGGGCCTGCGCTCAACTACTACAGGAGGAAGCCGAGCTCCGCTGGGAGCGCCGGACAAAGTTGCCGACCTGGCGGCGGCCACGCGTTTGCGTGCGTGTGTATGAGTGTGTGTGAGCGCGGCCGGAGATGCGTGCGTGTGCGGGTGCTCCAGGGCAATGGTCGAAAGGACTGTAGAATATAAACGCGAATCCAAGCTCCAGTTGCTGTTAAAGGGGGACGGTCTGCTCTGGGACAGAGTCCCTCGGGCCCCTGGCTCACGTCACACCCGCATCGGGTTGGGACAGTTTCCTCTTTCCGCCTTTTGGAATTCAGTGAGATTCTCAGCCCAGAGGACTTAATAAATTGAAGCAGTTTCCCGGGCACAATGATGCTGTGGGCCAACTGAGCACACATGGGAATTCCTAGCCTTGTGACACTTTGCATTAAAAAGAACCCCACGATTGAAGATAGGAGCAGAAGTACTAGATATAGTATTTGGTCTGAGCAACTGCCCTATCTTCCCGCTTTGGTGGGCCGTGCAACACCTGGAATGTCGTTTCTTGTCCTTCCCCTGATCCAGACGCATTCCAGGCTGGGCTGCAGGGATCCAGGTGACAGTCGGGACTTGCATCATTTCCAGGAGGGTGGCAGGGAGGCCCAAGGCAGCCCTGAGTCAGCCGCCGCGGAGCATCGCGTGCCCGGAGGCTAGAGCTTGAAAGACAACTTTACGCGTCTCCAAACACACTCCTGCATTTTCTCAAAGCGCTGCTCGCCACCCCGCTCTGGGTTCCCTTTTACTCTCCAGTCATCCGATGGAAGTGGTGAGAACAAAAACAAAGACAAAAAAGCTAAATCCGGGGAAATTATCTCCATCTCCTCCCTTTTCTTGTTCGGCCCCCTCCCCAAGAACCGCTGGGTGGGGATAGCCCCGGCTACTTTCTCCCCCGGCCCGCGGAGGGAAGGAGAAAGTTGGGCGCCGCTTGGAGCGCCTCTTCCCCTGCTATGTGTGTACGTGTGCACGCTCACGTCTCCCCCGCGCCGGGGCCTGGGACAGGAACTGCTCTCCGTCCCGTCACCCCACGGCGCAGCTCGGGGGGCTCTCAGGGCTGAGGGAGGGCGGGGACAAGAGCGCCGCGACCGAGCGCCCCCGGGCACGCACCCGGCGTTGGCGCGCACTCGCCCCTCCCCTCGTCCCCACCCTCCTCCAGGAGAACAGGTGAGCCCGGGTACCAGCTCTCCATCCCCCACCCCCACCCCGCGCCCCGCCCGCGCCCTCTGCGGTAATGCGCCTGGGAAGTTTCATCACCCACTGCCCAGGCGACGCGGCCCTGGGTCTCCGCGGCGGGGCGCACTGCCCGCCTGGTTGGGGCCGCCATGTGACACGGCTGGGGGAGGGGGTGCGGAGACGCGCTGGCAGGTTATCTTTTGGCTGGCGCTTGACTTCCAAAGCTTTCCTTTCCTGTGTCCCGGCTGCACGCGGGTGGGGAAGGCGGAGGCGGGGTGCCAGGATGACCACTGCTGGCCGCAGCTGTCCGGCGTGTCCGACTCTCCTGAGTCGGAAGGAAGGAGAGAAGGGGGTGGGGAGGGCATCTTCAGAGTGGGCTTCCCCTGGGCTGGAGCGCCAGGGAGCATCCATAAATGGTCACTTTGAAGGTCCGAACCTGCAGCGGTGGGGAAGAACTGACCATCTATGCCCACTATTCTAATAGCAATTACTTGGCAACTTCGGATCTTTTGTGCAAGGACGTGCGGGTACAAATACATTAAAACGGCCAGTTCACATTGCCCACGCTGCTTTTGTTTGCGTAGTTACCTTAGCTTCCTTTATTAGTTTATGGAAAAGCACCTCCTGTAGATCCTTAAAAACAAAGCAAACAAACAAACAACACAGTGGCATTCTGGCCTCTCCTAACTAACTCTTTAAGGCTCTGAATTTCCTGAGAACAAGTGGCTATTTGGTCCCACTCCTGCTTATGGGTATAGCTGGGTAGACTTTCTTTCTATGTGGCCTCTTTTGTAGGTGAGAACATGAGCAATATTGACATTAAGAAGTCATCTGGTCACCTGTTTTTCTGAGAAGCAGAAATAGGAGAGAGCTCCAGGGGGCAGGAGCAAGCCCTCCTTTGGCAGATGTAGTCACTGAGTGTACTGGGCAGAGGCCTCCCAGGGTACCTGGAGCTATGGCCAGGCAGATGGAGTTCTCCTCGCTCCTGCTTTGCCCAGCCTTTGGCTAGGCGCTACCTTTTGCTACCATGGGGCGCCTGGGGCTGCCCTCAGAGGACCTACATAGTTTCAAAGTTCATCCTGAGGCTGTTTGCTTCTGCCTTACAAGGGACATTCCTGGTTTCCACCTGAGCCAACTGCCCCTTTGGAACCAAAAGAACACATAGTAGCTAGAATTGGAGGTGTTGTAAGCACAGGCACTAGTTCTTAAGGGTTTATCTCTGGGCCACTTAGCCAAGTTCAAAGCATCCAGATAAGAATGCCCATCTCAGTCAGACCCACCATCTGCGAGTGATTCCCTTGCAGAATCACTAGGCAGTTTGCTGGGACTGCCAGTCTAGGCCGCAGGGGTAGAAGTGGGATGGGGGCTCAGACAGGTGACTTTGTTGTGATTGATTCCCCCTCTCTCTGGCTGATTCCTTTAGCTTTACAACTGGGGCCAAGTTTGGCAGACTGTGGCTGATGACGATGGGGCAGGAGACCATAATACTAATCATTATTACTATTATATAGCTAACATGACTGGAGAACAGACACCGCACCACACACCACACTCATGCCTTTGGTGTCCCTCCAGACCTAGGGCCCTCCCTAGATGGGAACTGAGACCTGGGAGGTCTCTTGGATGGACCAGCTGCTGCTGCCCTGAGGTTCAGCAGCACCTGTCTGGATGGGCCCTCCTCCTCAATTTAACGCACACACAGCCATGAAGAGGCAGACATGACCTACCTTGTGTCATCCAGGGCCTTCTGTGGTTGATGCCTGGAGCCCACATTTTCCTGTCTAAATCCACTTTGCTAGTTACATGTGGTCAACACTGAGTGGCAGGTTTTGGGGGAGGGGGTATTTGGGTTAGACTATGAAGGATGGGAGAGGATAGTGACAAGTAGAGGCAAGGAAAAGAGTGGGCATGGGAGGTGGGAGGACCAGCAGGGGTAAATGCATGGAGAGGATCCGGTGGGATTTGCATCAGGAATAGGGGTTGCCCAGTTAGGTGTGAAAGTGGGACATCAAACTGGGGAAGTTGGTCAGGGCATGTTGTCAAGGCTGGGCCCCTTGTGACAAATCTGCGCTCCTCAGGGAAGATCTGACGGTATTTAAGGATGAGACTGTAGGGCACTTTAGACTAGGTTCTCTTTAGGAATTAGGAAATGCTCAGGGGCCCAGAGCTACCATTGTGGAGAAAGAGGAGAGGAGTGGGAAGGAATTAGTTGGAATCTTCAAGTGCGTCTCGATGCTGAGCAAGACAGACGTGTTCTTGCTCGAGTGTGAGCTGAAGGGGCTTTAGCATATGGGCACAGTTCGTGGGTGCTGAGTCAGTGATGTGCAAGTTGACACGTGCTGCCTGGTCCAGGCTCTCTGAGTTCCGGAACCTGAGTGGAGAACATGGCTTACACGTGGGGAGCTCCGCCCACTGCACGCCCCGCCCCCTTGGGGCCGACTGTCTGGGCTGATGGCACCACCTTATGGTCAGAGAGGGAACTGTCTGACTATACAGTCGTGACCCTTGCCTGCCTGGAAGGCCTGTGGCTCTAATAATTGGTCTCCAGCCTTCTCCCTAGTTTCCTTTCCTTTTCTTAGCAAATCAACTAATGCAGATTTAGCCAATCTCCTCGCAATAACATGTCTTAATCCCCCCATCAAAGAGATCTCTTTCAAACTTATTTTCCCTCTTGCTCCCCTGTCCTTTGCTGTTTTCCTTTGTGAGCCTCAAATTGACCCTAATCCTGGCTCCTGTGCATCATACCTGTATGAAGGAAAATGAAAAAAGGTATCAAGGTGAAACCGGACAGAAAAAAATAACAAACTGCTGCTATTAGGCCTCCCAAATTATCTTGCAAGCAGAGGTCTCTCCCTAAAAAACCTCCATCTCCCAGCACTTTGGGAGGCTGAGGTGGGTAGATCGCTTGAGCCCAGGAGTTTGAGACCAACCTGGGCAACATGGCGAGACCCCGTCTCTACAGAAAATATAAACATTAGCCGGATGTGGTATGTGCTTGTAATCCCAGCTGCTCAGGAGACTGAGGCTCTGGGAGAATGGCTTGAGCCCAGGAGGTTGAGGCTGCAGTGAGCTATGATTGCACCACTGTACTCCAGCCTGGGTGACAGAGCAAGACCCTGTTCAATAAAAAAGCCTCTATCTTTGCTCTTATCTTTTTTTCATTAAAACTGGTTATTTCATTAAATATAATTCAGGATAAATGAGATTATATCTTCAATATTTGGGTTTGTTTATTCTTAATACTACAACCAAATTATATTCTACTAATTTATACCATAAAAGTACAGTGCCCAACAACACAATGAGTTAAGAAGGATTTTGTGGTGCTGGCCTGTAAACCTATCATGTATAATATTGTTTCTTGGAAGAAAATATATTCTGAGTTCCCAAGACAACCAACTTTTGAAGTGTTGGAACACAATACTTTTGTGAACTGGGCATTTCTTCTGTGTCACAGATCAATAGTCAAACCATTCATGGATTGACTGGAAATACAAAAGATAAAAAAAGAATTAAAAAAAAAAAAACCCAAGAGAGTGGGAACACTGTGTCCCTCACAATAAACCCATTTACTGGAAGGAACATAAAGTAGTAAACACTGGGCATCTGACTGTAGTTTGAGTTTTGTTAATGCCTTTCTCTGAAGCCTGAATGGTACCCCAGAAGGCCTCTCTGTTTCACATGGGTCTTAATTTTTGCTTCCTTGTATCTTGAGACAAACTCCAGGAGAACATATCTCAGGCAAGGGGCTGCCTGACTTCCATGGAGAGTGCTGGTTGGGCTGAGAGGCAGGCATTGTGGTGCTGGAATAGTATGATAGAGCTCTCCTTGGGTGGGTTTTAACTTTGGTTGGGGAGTGGTTGGATTTCAAGTGGCTGAAGGAAGAGTCTTTTTGTGGGGCAGTTTTCTAGGGAGCCAGATTTTGAAAGCTTCAGGAAACGACCAAATCTATTAATGTGATTTAACTTTCAGTATGTTATCAGGGTCCATTGAACCCAATTTTAGATTTTGAAGGTGTTTTTTTTTTTTTCCTGAGAAGTTCGAACAATTTGTAAGGATTGGTATTTCATGACTTTTGTTTGTTTTCAGAAGTCTTCTGAAGATGAAAGAAAGATAACATCTAGTTTTTAACAAAAATAGAATAAAACTCATTCTGTCTTGAAGTTACCATATGACCGTTGAAATAATTTATAAATTTATGATGTATCATAGGATCTCAGTGATCTTAATTTTCTTATAGCTTTAAACATCCCCCATTTTATCACCCTAGAAATTATTTTGTCATTACTCATCAATTATTGCCAATTATGGTATAAAAAAGAAAAACACTAATAAGAAAATGGGAGAATGATGGAATCACCTAGAAGGATGGTACAAGAATGAAACAAATTATCACTATTGTATCATCCTTCAGGTTTTTGATCACATTGCCCAAAGTATTACATGATTTCTTGAGAAAGTATAAAAGAAGATGGAGGACTCCATCTTTGTAGACTTTTTCTTCTTGCTTTCATTAAATATAGTTGTAAATACGCTGTATTTTTCATTTTTCTGCACAAACTATAAAGAGAAGAAAAATGACAGAGGGAAATGTTGTACAATTATTAGTCCAATCAGAAGATGAATGCAAAGAGACAGCACTGTGGAAGACTCGATAATGGCGAAACGGACTGAACTGTATAAGCAAAGTCCCAGACTGTGAGTCCTACATGATAATAACCTAGATTAATTTCCTCAGATTTAAAGATTCATGAGTAAACAATATATTTCGAAGGATAACAAAAAATATGATATTCCATCCTGTTAGTCATTCACCAGGAATGATTTCATCACACTATATTTTGCAGCAAAAACTTGGAGCATCCTGTTTTCCTGAAAGAATGGGGGCCAATTTTTTTTTTACTTTTTATGTTTGCTTATTGAAATTTACTTGATACAGTGTGAAGGGGACAAATGATGAAGTCAGATTAAAGGTGAGTACAAAGATGATTGAAAACAAATAGGTGGTATGGAAAGGAAAGAAAAAAGATCACTGGACTAAACATTCTAATTGGTGTTTATAAATTTAAAAATAAAAATGCTTTTCAATTACAGAGAAAAGAAGATGACCATCTTCTCCTGAACAAAATTATGAACTATCAAAGGTTTCAAAGGTAATAAGTTTTATGTCGCAAGAAGAAGAACCAGAAGTAATGCTGAGCTAGAACTTATTAGAGATTTCCTTGAAATCTGGACTTGGTGTTTATAAGATGGCTCTGTCCCAGGTTTATGCATGACAGCTGGTGAGCAGTTAGTTGCATTCAGAGGACATTGCTCATTTTGGGCCTCTCTGCATTCAAAACCAGGAAAATATGCTGTGAAAATTTGATATTACTGATGTCTCTAATAAACTTTTAAAAAATGATCCTTTTAGTCTTACTTCTGTAGATTTATTCATAAAAATAGAAAGAATTCATTGGACCCTGATGGTAAAAGATGATGATGACGTTTTTCTGCTACACTGAGGGTTAAGAGTATAGAGGTAAAATATTAAAACAAAAATGAAATAAACTCCTTCAGCAAATGGGAGTCACTATAGAGGTCTCCATCCGTTCCCAACCCTTTCTTACACAGGCCCACCATTGATTGATGATTACTTTAAAGATGGGTGGTTTGAATGTGAGACATCGTCACATAGCCTCTCTGTTTATTCCTTTCTTTGGTATAACTTGGTTCTTCTCAAATTCTGGTGGGGATAAGAATTACTATACAGGGCTGATAGAATATCTCATGGACATTATATCTTAATGAATATTTGACAGATGTTTTAAGATTAATTTTGACCACATTTTCACTTTGAAGATTTTAGAATCTAACCCACTCTGACATATATTCATTCATTCAACAAGCTCTTGTGCATGTCTGTGTACTAGATTAGGTGTTGCATCCTGGGAAATAGGAAGAGATAGACACAGTTGCTGCCCTTATTGTGGTAGCAATCCAGAGGGAGGAAGCAGTAATTTTTATAGCGTCACATGGCAGGAATTACGATACAGATGAACCAGGAGAACGGGCGAGGGACACATGAAAGGTGTCAACAACGACAAATTTTAGTTTTTATACTCACTTAAAAAAGTAGAAATTGGATCCTGAAGAATTGGAGGGTGGCATTTAGAGGATGGAGACGAGGAGAAAGAAGAATCCAGGCAGATGGACCAACACACGCAGAGGCCTAGAGGAGCGAGCAAGCAGCAGGTTAGAAAAGCTGGGTGATTTAGCATGGCTGGGAGGGACAGTGTTTGGGGGAGGAGAGGACCCGCCGTTGGAACCTTGACTCGGGTTAGACCCCAGGACTTGGTATATCTGGCTTCATCTGCAAGTAACAGAAAGCCCAATGCAAACTCTTAAACAATAAAGGGGACTGCATTGTTGCAGGAAGTCCTGAGGTTGTGGGAACCGCAGATGGATTGGAGGGGAGACCCCTAAAGCAGGGATCCATTGAGAAGTCAGGTGGTAAATTGGAGATGGGAAGGAAGAGGTGATTTTGAGGAGCCTGTAGGGACAAACTGGCATGATAACCAAGTTTCACACAGGAAGGATAAGTGGGAAAAACAATGGCAGTTTAAAGCCTCTCTTTGACTATCCCCTTGTCACCTTTTCCTCCCTCCTGTCCTGTAACACCTTTCCCACCCCTGCTCAGCTATCCCCCATCTCCAGCAAAGACCCCAGGGTGATCTTTGGTATATTCTTTTCCTTCACACCCCGGCATGAAACTCACCATCAATTCTTGTTTCCCTCTTCCCATTTCCACCCTCCAAGCCTCAGTTATGTCTGTCTTGAACCACTGCGGGGTTAACCAGCTGGTTTCTTGTGTTCACTTCACCTGCCAGTACTCCCTCCAGTCCAAATTTTCTGCATCATATGTAGCCAGATTAATAATAATAGTAAAAACCCAAATCAACAAACGAAAAGCCCCCAAACCAAATCATACCTTTCACTCGCTTAACTCCGGAGGCCTCCTTGGAATAAAACCCTCTCCTGTCCACATGGAAGGCCCTGGGAGATCTGGCCCTGCTGGTGTGCAGATCTCATGGAACCTACTCTCTCATTTTCTCATTCCTTTCTGGTGCCTTTTTTCTTTCTTTCTTTTTTTGAGACGGAGTTTCACTCTTGTTGCCCAGGCTGGAGTGCAATGGTACGATCTTGGCTCACTGCAACCTCTGCCTCCCAAGTTCAAGCGATTCTCCTGCCTCAGCCTCCTGAGTAGCTGAGATTACAGGCATGTGCTACCATGCCTGGCTAATTTTGCATTTTTTTTTTTTTTTTGAGACGGAGTCTTGCTCTGTTGCCCAGGCTGGAGTGCAGTGGCACAATCTCGGCTCACTGCAAGCTCTGCCTCGCGGGTTCATGCCATTCTCCTACCTCAGCCTCCAGAGTAGCTGAGACTACAGGTGCCCACCACCATGCTCAGCTAATTTTTTGTATTTTTAGTAGAGATGAGGTTTCACCATGTTAGCCAGGATGGTCTCGATCTCCTGACGTCGTGATCCACCCACCTTGGCCTCCCAAAGTGCTGGGATTAAAGGCGTGAGCCACCATGCCCGGCCTAATTTTGTATTTTTAATAGAGATGGGGTTTCTCCATGTTGGTCAGGCTGGTCTCGAACTCCTAACCTCAGGTGATCAGCCCGCCTTGGCCTCCCAAAGTGCTGGAATTATAGGCGTGAGTCACCGCGCCCGGCCCTGGTGCCTTTTTTCTTTACTGAAAATGAGCCAAGCTTTTTCCTCTGCTTTAGGGCCTTAATGTAGGCTGTTCCTACAAATCAGAGGTCTTGCCCAGTTATTACCTTGTTTATTTATTTGTTTTAACTGTTTCTTGTATTATTCCTTCTCCTACCCAAAATGAATGATAAATTCCCTGATGGAGAGGACGTTGCCTGCCATGTTCAGTATCCAATCCCCAGCACCCACTACAGTTCTTGACACACAGTTTTAAATGTGTGTGTGTGCACCTGTGTGTGTGTGGTTGTGTGTGTGTGTGTTGGATGACAACAAGGCCCCTAGTTCCATTTGCGGAACTGGGACTCAGAGAGAGGGAGTTCAGTTTGCAGAGGAAGGTGTTGAAGGCAAAGGATGAACAGGCCATCCAGGTGGGATGTACAATGGAGAATTCAGATCCTCCTTACTCTTGTAGCATTTCCTCATTCCATACTGCTTTATGTAGAGATTATTTATAGGTTAAAAGTGTTTTTATAGACATGGCCCCTTTAGATCTCTCTACAACCTTGGAAGGGAGTAGAACGATTATTTCCATTTTACAGATTAAGACCTCAAGCACAGAGATTCTTGTCTGAGGCTCACACAGCTGGAAGGCTCTAAGTCCAGATTTGAACCCAGGTATTTAAATCCCCAGATCTTTGTATTTTATTATGGTTTTAGAAGTCATAACCCATTTTCTCCACCTTTACCAGTGAACAATAAGGATGACGAATCATGTTGCAAAACACTTTCATTTTGATGCTGATCAAAGTGAACTTAGTTTGCATATATATATATATATATATATATATATATATATATATATATAAAGGCTAAGCCATATATATGTGCGTATGGATATATTTTCTCCCTAAGATCTTAAAACTTCGAGAAAGGCAGAAGAACTAGGGAGAGATAAAAATATAACTAGAAGAAAGGGCTCAGAAGGAACAAATGAAAAGAAACAAAGGTAAGATTATAAACTAAAAGAAAGACAAAGAACATATTTAAATTCTTCTTGTTCTTTGGCAAGGTTACCAACAAAAAGATGTGGGTAACAAGATAAATTAGGCACATGAAACTAAAGCAAGAAGGCTCATAATTGATGAAGAAAAAAAGAGAAGAAAACAGTTTCCTGGGGGGAGGCAGAAGAAAAGTGAGGCGGGGCAGCGGGAGACAGCCACGGATCAGACAGCTCAGCCTGGCCAAGCCATTCCCATACGGTGAGCACTGGAGGCCCAGCGTGTGGTGGGTGTTTAGGGGAGACAGAAAAGAGGAAGATGTTAGGCCCTTGACTTCAGTTTGCTGATGGCAGCCACATGGGGAAATGTTCGAGGGCAAGGAGAGATGATCTATGGGGTGTGCCGGTGGGGATGGCTTTGGTGTGAGTAGGGAGGGTAGGGGCTTGGAGCTAGGTGTCGAGGGATTTGAGTTGATGTTGATTAGCTGTGTGACCATGGCCAGGTTACTTAACCTCTCTGAGCTTCAATCTGGTCAACATAGGCACGGGAATAACACTATGTACTTTATAGGCTGTTGTAGGGTTAAATGTGATAATGTGTCATAAATCTTGCTCAGCGCTTGGCGCCTGGCGGGCACTGCATAGCCATTGATTCCCTCAGTGATCAAAGCAGGGGGTGGTGGCTGTAGCCATTCTCTGACAGGCATCTGAGTTTTCAGTAAGAGTTGTGACCTTCTGTTCCTTTGGGCACTGTTGTCAAGTCCTCAGAAGGCAGGAAGCAAGGAAACAGAGTCAGTGAGCTGTTCCCCCTCCCCCCCGGTTGGGTGGCTCCATCTAGACTTGGAGATTGGGGTGGCTTTGATTTGTGAGGGAGCTGCGTGGGTCGTAACTGGGTACGTTTTTATTTGCGGGTTACTGTGTGCAGTAACTTACCACATTTGCTCTTTGAAAACGCCTTAATGGGCTGCTGTAGTAGAAAGAGAAAATCTTTCATTGGTATGTGTATGTCGTCCAAATGGTATTTTTAAAGATTTATTTTTGTGTGTTCACGATGTTCTTGAATAATGTTTCCATAAGTACGGTCAAAGATAAAACTTGCGCGGTGCACGAAATCTGGTCGTGCATATTTTAGTGTGACCGTCTTTTGACCAGCCATTTGTCAAGTTCTTCACTGACTGACTTGTATTTCCTTAGGAGGACTTGCTTCAGCCAGCCCGCTGATGGAGAAACTTCTGAACATGGGCCAAGCTAATGGTGGTGGCCCTGTTGAGTGTCACCCCTTCTCCTCTTACCTGCAACAGTGTGGTTCTCCAGCTGGACTAGTGGAGGCCAGAGCTTCATAGCTCAATCATTTACTAAGAAACAGCTGATGAGTACCTTTGAGGTGTTGGGTGCTGTGTGGGGATTTGGGAACACAGGGTGACTTAGATGGACAAGCCAGCTGGTCACATGCAGCCAATCAAGTAACAAGAAAAGGGACGTGACTGAGGGCCTGTGCTAGCCAGGGGGGTCAGGCAATGACCTGAACTGTAGTCATTTCTCCAGGAACTTGAAAGACACAAAAAAAGCCAGCCAGGCAAAAGCAGTGCAAGCGCAGAGACCTGAGGCTGGGATAAGTTGGCCTGTTCAAATAACGGAAAACTGGTTGGCACTATGGTTGGAATGTTTGTCCCCTCCAAAACTCATGTTGAAATGTAATCCCCAGTG